TGACCTCGTCTCTGCCTTATCCTTGTTTGTACTTTGTTTTGAACAGCAAAAGTCTGTAATTGCATATTGGGCTCTATCTTCTAAGCCGTGACAGGCTAAATACCATGGCAGCATTACATGTGGGTGAATTTTCACATGTGATGTTACCATGGTTAGCCATGAAATACATGTAGATATGTCAGGGTATTTGATTAGCACCCAGCAAGTGTCACAGAGCCTATCAGCAATTATCTGTTCTGGCGAGCCTGCGGTGTCCTGGGGGCTCCAGTGCTCCAGACCTCAATCCTTTGCCGCCAGCCTTGACCATCACACAGCCTAACACTGCTTCCTGTCTGCACCTTTTTGGCTTCATGGCTTCCGCTATAAATAAAGGCACCCATGTCCTCATAGATCTCCCAGGTTACCATATCACTCCCAGGCCCCTGGGAAGGTCATGTCAGCAAGTCTGTAACTAAGTTCCTCTAAAGCAACCCAACCGATAGATTGTCACAAGGTTATTTACTAAAGCGAAAATTTTAAATATAAGGTCACAGTAGCCGAACTCAAAGGAACACTAAAGCATTTAATAGTACACACCTTTTAGATAGGTCCCTAGGCATCCCTGACACAATAGTGCCTCTGTGCCTGTTTAGGTCCCTGGCTCTAAAGGGCTAGTCGCTTCTGCAATCGCTGGTCTTCCTTGGGGAATCTCTTGCCCCGCTGGGACTCCACAATACCCAGTGCCTGGTACCAGATGTCTTTGTGAACTGCATCTCGGTCATCCATGACACCCTCATCATACTCCACTGCTGGTTCCATCCTGGTGCTGTCAGGGTCGCTGTACTGGGACATGCGTTGCCCTCAAATTGTAAAATCCACGGAATGGTGTCCCCTGTAGCTGTCCTTCTGGCTGTAGGAATGATCCCGCCTCTTGCCACCAATTGTAACGGCACCCCCAGGCATAAAAGGGGTTAACAGCCGTTTAGTAAATCTTCCCTTCCAGAGACACAGGCACAGCTACTGCAGAACACCAATCCGCCGAACAGGAAACCATATGAATGCCGTAAACAGCCGAATAGGAAAAACCATCCGAATAGGTTTACACTCCTAGCAGTCAAACTGGAACAGCATACAGTAAATCCCCCCAAAGACGAGACAAGGCTCCGTGTTGAGGGTCAAGCAGTGGTCTGTTTAATGAGGGCTACCTGGCCAGTATTTATGCAGGTCTCCCACCTGGTGGACACTCCCCTAAGGGACCAAATGGGAGACTGTGACAAAAGACAGACAATCAGCAAAATAGGACACACAGTCACATTATATTCCCACAATGCATCCTGGCTTCCTCCCCTCTGCCCTGGAGATAATTGAGAAGTAATTCAATTTTCTCCCAGGACAAAGGCAAATCGCCATTATGCACGTGGGGATACCAATACAGGAATTACTGTTAAAATACACTATGTTGGAACGGTTACAGTAAAGATATACATTTAACATATCCCCAGATAGCTCAGGTCTGAGCGCACATTATTAAGCGAATGGCGCTCAGACTACACGAATACAGTTCAATCACCATGGTGCCAAAGTGTTCACAAAGTCAGTTCTCATACGAATGAGCTCCATGGGATTCCTATCTGGGGTATGGTGTAGTCAGGTACAACTACCGAATACAGGGACGTTCGTGCACGTCCATCGAACAAGAAGGGAGGTCGGCAGCTTCAGCGGTGTTCGTACCAAACTGTGTCCGTTTTCAGTTCCATGAGTTAGGCGTCGAACACCGCTGTGCGTTCGCGTGTTTAAAATGGCCGCGACCTCGTGTTCGGTATACGAATGGCGGACACCCAGTATTCGTCAATTAAGCTTCGGTTAACCGCAGCTTCTGGGAGGCTAATTGCCGGCACACTCCAGCTCCCAGGTGGTCTAGTCATTCGTGTGGTTGTTCGGTAGATTAAATCTACCGAACACCGGGCAGAAAAGCACGAATAAGTCTTTTCTGCAGGGGAAACAAAATCTTTTAACATGGGGCCATAATCCAAAGGTAACAGGCGAGCAACCAGGCTTCTCCAATGCAATGTGGCGAGGTTGCTCTCGTCACATATATGTACACATACATACACATACACTAAGTGTATTTTAATATTTATATATATATATATATATATATAATCTTATATATATATATATATATATATTAATATCAAAATACATGTAGAATGATATTAAATATATATTTATAATTATACATATATATAATATAAAATAAATACATATATAAATATGTTAAAAATGAAAAATAAAAATATAAAAAATAAATAATTAAAAAATATATGTATATGTGTAATTTCGCTCTAACTGTATTTTGATATCTATCTATATATATATAGAGAGAGAGATTGATATCAAAATACACCTAGAACAAAATAATATATATCTATATACATAAATATATATGTATATATCACTATATATATACCTATATATAAATAAAAATAATAAAAAAATTATATATATATATATATATACATATCTATCTATACATACGTATATATATATAAATATATATATATACATACATATATATAATTCTACGTATATATTTATGCAATTTTTTTTTATATTTTATTCATATTAATAATGTTTGTATTGATCACAACGTGTACATTTGGCTCAATTCTTAAGGGGTGCAGGACTGAGCCAAGTGTACACGTTGTGATCAGAACCAAACGTAAACAAAACATAGAATTTGACTATATGTCTGTTCAACCGTAAATCACCTCTTTCATATTAAGTGCACCAACGCTGATTATATATCATCTTATTCAGGGGAAACAGGGCTTTCATTTAACATCAAATATTTAGCTATGAAACATAATTTAATATGAATAAAATATAAAAAAAATGGGAGACAATAAGAAATGTTGTTATTTTTTTAGTTCTGCATGACATTTTAACTCTGAGTGTCATAATACTGTTTGCTTTTACTGCAATAAAATACACATATTTGTATTCAGTGATGTCTCACATGTAAAACAGTACCCCCTATGTACAGGTTTTATGGTGTTTTTGGAAGTTACAGGGTCACATCTAGCATGTAAAATTTTTCTGTTTTTTCACATTGAAATTCGCCAGATTGGTTACGTTGCCTTTGAGACCGTATGGTAGCCCAGGAATGAGAATTACCCCCATGATGGCATAACATTTGCAATAGTAGACAACCCAAGGTATTGCAAATGGGGTATGTGCAGTCTTTTTTAGTAGCCACTTGGTCACAAACACTGGCCAAAGTTAGTGTTAATATTTGTTTGTGTGTGAAAAATGCAAAAAACTAATTTAAACACCAATTTTGGCCAGTGTTTGTGACTAATGCTTTCCTATGGGGAGGTCTAATGCGCGTGCGGCCATTGCCGAACATGCGCATTGGGTCTTTCCTGTTGGCGGGGGCGGAGCCTGACCCAGCACCGAGGAACATCTGAGCTGGATTTAGGTAAGTGGCTGAAAGGGGGGGGGGACATATTAACCCTATAGTGCCAGGAAAACGGGTTTGTTTTCCTTGCACTATAGGATCCCTTTAAGCTGTAGTTGTTCTTGTGACTATAGTGTTCTTTTGACTAAATAAATGCTTTACTTTTTTCCCAATGCTGATGTTTCCTCTGTGCTGTTTACCCATCCACCTCATGCTACCTCACAGAGAAAGCAAGGCCTCCTCCATTGTTGGTTCAGTCCATTGCTCCCCATAGAGGAGCCATACACACATCCAAGATTCCACATAGGAAAGCATTTAATCAATTCTTTCCTAAAAGGGAATCAGCGTCATGTGATGTGACTGATTTTTACTTGGTCAATGTTGCAGAATCTCTTCTAGAAAGACCGCCACTGGGGATGGATTTAAACCTGCATTGTAAACATTGTGGTTTTAAAAAAACAATAACCTGCAATGATTTACATTGCAGGCTTAAAAGGACAGTGACACTGCCCCAGACTACTTTATTGAGATTAAAGGACCACTCTAGGCACCCAGACCACTTCAGCTTAATGAAGTGGTCTGGGTGCCAGGTCCCTCTAGGATTAACCCATTTTTTAATAAACATAGAAGTTTCAGAGAAACTGCTATGTTTCTAAATGGGTTAATCCAGCCCTCAAAGCCTCTAGTGGCTGTCTCACTGACAGCCGCCTGAGGCGCTTGCGTGCTTCTCACTTTGAAAATCACAGTGAGAACACGCAAGCGTCCATAAGAAAGCATTGTAAGTGCTTTCATATGAAACGGGCTGAATGCGCGCGCAGCTCCTGCCGCGCATGCGCATTCAGCCCAGGAGGAGGATCGGAGGAGGAGAGCTCCCCGCCCGGCGCTGGAGAAAGGTACGATTTAACCACTTTCCTCTCCCCAGAGGCCGGCGGGAGAGGGACCCTGAGGGTGGGGGCACCCTCAGGGCACTATAGTGCCAGGAAAATGAATATGTTTTCCTGGCACCATAGTGGTCCTTTAAGTGGTCAGGCTGACTATGGTGGTCCTTTAAATATGAAACTCACTTTAAAATCATCTTGAATTAGAACTTTACTAAATAAATCTGCAAGTTTCCCACCACTGGGACATTTCGACCACAGATACTTTCCCTGTGCTGCTGTTTCCTGCTATTCGAATTGGAGGGGGGGAAAAATCACCAAATAGTCTGATAGGCTGTATAGTTACTCATAGCAAACCCAGACAACGTTTAGAAATCAGCCAAATAACTAACCCAACAGCTGGAGTGCAAAGGGTTAGCTATTACTGATCGCTGTTATAATAATAGAAGCTTATTATATCAAGTATATAGAGTCTGTGTCCTACCAAAGTGGTGTTTAATATTACAAACAAATTTCCCTGTGGCTAATTAAAAGACAAAAAGTAAACCACCCCAACAGATTGTAGGCGGGGCAAAGCAAGGAAAAGACTCTTCGAAGAATAGCAGGTTTGTGAATATGAGGAAGCTCCACCCATGCTGAGTCTTATGAAAGGGACAGCGTCAGGTGTGTCATTATCCGTGTGGATCCAGCAGTGGACAGGCTGACCTGTGAGCCAGGGCCTTGCAACAACGTAATCTGGACGGTTGAATGGTTAGTAACATTCGTTTATGTTAGTGTTGGGAATATGTAAATAAATGCTGATGGCAATATCAAATATGTTCTAGAATGCTGCATCAAAACTAGTGTTACATTGTGTTGGAGGACTCTACTCCGTGTTATCATTTATCTGCTGTTTAGCTTGTGTATTTCTATTGTAGCCAGCACTCTGTTCTGGGTGGGGTTTAGTCTAACTAGCCTCTCTGAAGTTTAGAGGCTGAAAGGGATGTCAGGTTTGTGTGTGGAAAGATTACATTTTGGTAAGGTTTGCTTTGTGACTTTATATTCCTACAAGGTGATCTCTCTAGGCTTCATTAAAGGGGGAAGAAGAGTGGGCTCTTATTTACAGTTTATTCAGGATTTGGGGTGTCTGCACATTCTGTGATCTCCTATAGACTTACTGCTTTCAAATGTACAACTTCCACTCTGCGGAAATTAATGCGTTCTCTAACTGCTGTTGCATATGATGAAGAGATCATTTTCACTTTAAGAATCTCTGGTTTTCTAGACTGGCATAAGTGTATATAGTGGGGTGTGTGTGGGGTTTTTTCTCCCCTTGCCAAAAAAAAAGTGTCACTCGTTGTGTCTTTAAATGCTGTTGCTTTCAAACAACCATTGTGTAGATGACCCAACACTTTTGAATTCTGCACTTTGACATAAGTAATTCAGGATGCTGGAGAGCCTCTGGTTGCAGTCAGAACAGTTTAACTAAAATTAAAGGAACAATACCTACATTCTCTTGGCACTATTGCTACTTCACTGAGCTGTGTTTTGTGGTGCTTAGTATAACTTTCAAGGGCTGTCTTAGCCTAGGTTAATGCATTCATATCAGTGTCTAATGACTCCCATTGTCTGATCAGATTACCTGTCACTTGGCCAATAAATGCTGTCAAAAATTGATATTGCGAAAGTGTATGTCAAGCATTAGACTGGTTTTGAGCGACCTATGATTTGTCAAACAAATCAACTGGTTTGACACAAAACTAAGGTTGACGCCCCCCCCCACTCTGAGTGTAAACTTTTTGTTCTGGATGGGTAGGGACTTATGGGCCTGTGTGTGTGTGTATATGTATCCTACTCATTTTATGTTTAGGGCTTGGAAAAGACCAACTTCCTTCTGGTCATTTTGTACTGTGATGCATTCAACATGTTGGTTCATTAACTGATCCCTCATCTCCTCCTTTTCCTAAAGTAGTATTGTGGTTTCAAAGGATAACGTTCGTTCTTTTACTTTAAAGATCTGCAATGGTGCAGCTGTCTCCCTCAAGTCCTAGCACACACGGAGAATCACATTTGGTGAACAATGATGAAGACTACAAATATCTGGATGGCAAGGGGAGCCTTAAACTACTGCAGACCTCAATCTCCCCAACTGCTTCCCCTCTCCAAGTCTTTGAAACTTATTTGGATAATGGATTGGTTAGTTTGAAGCACAAAATCAGGAACATCGAAAAAAGGAAGGTATTTGGAATACTAAATCTTTCTCTCTGGAAAGGTAACTTGGTTGTATGTAGGATGTAGCTAAAGGGTAATATAACGGTAAGATCTGTGATTTTGTACTAGCTATCTAAATATCTTAGATGTTTTTGGCTTTATTTTCAAAGTCAACACATAAATCCTGCTCCCCCAAATAAGATTGCTGGCATGCCACTTCATGGCAGCATATGCCCAAGGTTTTCATTTATCTCCTATGATTAGTCAGGGAGTTTAAGTAATTTTGGATAGTTGTTGGATCTACAACTAAAACAGGTGGGGGGGGGAGGGGGAGATCTAATATTTGCAATATTCCTCTTAACTGTGGGATAACCCGTATAGTTACAACATACAAAAAAGAGAATTTGGAGGATGTAAAAAAAACATGACCTGTGGGAATAGTGGAATACTCCTAGGTAAAGCAACCTTAGTTGTTATAACTTTTTTTTTTTTTTATTCCTAAAATTGTTCATCAAGTGTTGGACTTGAAAAGTGTAACACAAACTGGACAAAAAAATATAATCTTACTATTATCAACACGGGGGGAAAAAAGCCGATTTCAAAACGGTGGATCGTAGGAAGTCTACAGTACGGTTATAGCATAATCGCTTAACCTAACATATCAGGATGTATTCTAGACTAACTCCCCAACAAAACACTATTACTCTAGCTTCCCCTCTCATCCATTATACATTAATTCTCTTAACTGACACCATATTAAGTATACTGCTGGCAACAATTGTTGCAACATGATCTAGCTTACTACTAATTGCTACCAGCTACAAAGAGTATTCTTTCTGTTCATATCACTTTCAATTTGGAATACTAACATTTAATGTCAATTATCAGCTGACCGTTACTAGTGTGGTATAGTTATACCAAATCCATTTTGAAACGATACAAGGAGAATATTTGTATCCCTTTAGTAATCTCAATGGGAGGCTAATTATATCCTTCTAGAACAGGGAAAGTCTGTCAAGATCAAGGTGTGCCCACTAGGCATGATAGGGAAAGTTTACTCTCAGACTTGAGATTCCCCGTTTTATTCCCTTTACCCACATTGCATCAACTATATTGCTAATTACAATTGTTGCAACATTTTGAATACACCATAATTGTAACTGGGCAGTTTACAGGTCTCTGTAGCCTAACTATTTATTTGCTAGTGTTAAGTGTTTGTTTACGTATGAGTTTTTTGTGGGTTTTTTTTTTTTTCTCTGTATGTTGGATCCAATTCCAAACTTTAACCATTTGTCATGAGGGTTTTACCTCTTATCTGTGATAATAGGTTTTATATAAATTTTCCCCAAAGGTAAAATTGGAAGACTATAAAGAGCGCCTAAATAATGGGGAGGTACTCAATCAAGACCAACTGGTATGTATCATTATGTAGTATGTGTCTGCATCTGACTGATCACTGTCTAAACCTGTAGATGTTATGTGCCAATCTCATTTCATTCCAGGAGGCAGTTGAGAAGTATGAAGAGGTGATTCATAATCTGGAGTTTGCCAAAGATCTTCAAAAAACCTTTTCAGTTCTGAACCAAGATGTGAGTTCACCATAATTGTCGCCTTTTTTTTTTTTTGTTTTTGTTTTTTGTTTTTTCCTCCCAGTGAGAACAGTTACTCTTCTATGAGAAGCATGTGGCTACACGCTAGTGAGTCTTGGTGCCTGAAAAAAGGTAGTTAGTTTAACTCCTCACTAGTCACAAAGCGCCTTGTAAGGTGGCGCAGGGAGAGAACTGACTATAATGGAAGGTAGGCAGATTAAGTATATTGTGCCAGTAACCAGATGAAGGGTGGATTGGATAAGGTGAAATGGGGAGGCTGAGTGAACAGTGTAAGCTAGTGACCTGGGATGACTAGTGCGATCAAGACTGCATAATATTTCATGAAAATGGTCACAGTAGTGGGGTGTGTGGGGTTTTTTTTTTTTTATCCTACCCATTTTGGTATCTCTACATGATTACACATTGCAAAGTTTGACAGTCAGTCAAACTGCTCAGCCAACTTTGAAGTGATTATCATGGTCTAAAAGTAACTCTTGGCAACTCCTATTTGCTTGAACAACTTCCCAAGGTTTGCCAGCTTGAAAGGGTTAATCAGTGGAATGGGATGCCACTCACCCACAAAGTCCTTTAAAGGTTATAGTCCAAGCATAAATCTGAACTGGTGCAGCTTTACTGATAACAACATAGATGTGTCTAAATCTGCTCCTGTAGTCCTATTTTGGGTTGCACATAATAAAAAATAAAAAAAAGGTTCGCAGATTCTGCAAAAAGCATGTCTATAGATGCAGTTATGCATTTCTTCTAGTTACTGAAGGCTCAGAAAAAAGCCTTGCGGCGAGAGAATCTATTGAAAGTGGAAATGGAGAAGAAGAGACTGCGTACTATACTTCAGATTCAGTACATGTTCCAGTCATACAGCCAGGAACATGTCCAGAAGGACTTTAAGGATGGATTGAATGGTGCACTGTGTCTCTCCTCTAAAGAACTGGACTACCTGTCAAAGTTCTCCAGACTTGTTTGTTCCACAAGGCATCAGCACATGAGGTGTGTCAGATTCACACAACTGTAATATGAAGCCAAGCTCTTAATGTGTTGCAAATCTAACATCTGGTGTCCTGGGAACACTGCCTCTCCTGCTAACTAACTTGCATCACATGGCTACATCTTTTGTGCTCATAATGTATACATGGGATTTGCTGTCACTTGTTTTGACATGATTTTGTTGACCTAATTCAAGAGTGCTTTTGTGTATGCAATATATAGTATTTGGGGGGGGGGGGAAATACACCCAATAAACAAACCTGCACTAAGTTTGGAATCTTGAGGGGGTTATAAATTGTTACATAATCTAAAGTGACTGCACAATATAGGCTATTAACCAAATTCACTTCATTTACAACTTTTGATAGTGTCTCACACCTCCACAGTGGTGTATCTACCTTCAATTGTGCACCTAATAAGATTAATGTATTCTGTGTAAAGTCTTGAAGACCAGATGGATCAGTTGTCAGCCTACTTCTGGAACCTCCTGGATGGCAGTGAGAAAACAGTAGCTGGGACAAACTGTAAGTCTTGTGGGGGAAGATGTCTGTCCTGTTGAGCAGTATTAAAATGCCTTTGCATAGCAATTAACATTGATGTTGCTTCCAGATTGGTCCTATTGGGCCAATGGAGTGCATGACATGAGCTGTCTTGATATAGTGTTTATTATTCTTGGAGAATAAGATGCAGCATATGACTTGCCACAAATCTAGCCTGTATTATTTAATGTTATGTGGGGACATCAAAACACTACCTCCAACTTTGTTCTACCAGTTTCACCTGTTATGCTTTTTGTAGATAAATACTTAAAATACTTGGTGTCCCGTATGCTGGACTGTGGGTACTTTGAAAGTGTACCTGATCCTCCCTCTGAACAGAAGATACCAGAACCTTCTCTGCATGCACTGACCAAAAATCACACCAGTGAGGACAAGCATGATCACAGCTGTGGTGTGAACACCAAACCATCTTGTGACCCCAGTAAGTGATTTCTATTCTAGCGCCAAAATCCTATGTTGTGGGCAACACATTATCTAATCCTTTCTCTTAGGGATGTGTGTACACTTGTTAAATTTTATTTTTATTTTTTTTCCTCTTTAATTATTGGGTAGTTAACTGACTTGGTAAGAACATGGCAGTTGTACCACAAAACACATTCCAAGACCTTTTATAGATTAGATGACTTGGTCCATAGAACAGTTTGAAAGCTGTAATCTGACTGCAACAGACTAAGGAACCATTGACCTATTAATTATGCAAAGTCCTATAACTGCTGGTGGTTTTAAATGTCCCCTCAATTTGATTTGCTGTAAATGTGTTATTTTTTTTTTTTTTTTTTAATTATATTCCCTTTTCCCAGAGCCTCTTGTGGACGGTGTAAGGTGTGAGGTAAGTGGTCTATATAACAAAATTAAAATATGTAAGTCTTGTGTCAATGCTAAAGAACACCTTGCTTCTTGTCAATTTCGCTTCTCCTCCCCACTTTTGAAAATCTGCTTTTGCACTTGCATTCCTAGGTCACTTGCCTTAATATGCCATACTTTTCTACTTATTTATATAGCGCCAACAGATTCCGTAGTGCTTTACAATATTTTGAGAGGGGGGGGATGTAACAAATAGGACAATTACAAGAAAACTTACAGGAACAATAGGTTGAAGAGGACCCTGCTCAAACGAGCTTACAGACTATAGGAGGTGGGGTATTTGAAACATTAGTACTTCAAAAGAACTTGTCATGGGTTTCTAACTATATAGTTGTAGCTATGTTTTAGTATTCTTGCTTTGTTATACTAGCTTCCCGTAGGCAACACCACACCAGTGGTTCTAGTTAAGGAAGTACCGGAGCCAAAACCAGTACAAAAAGCTTATACAAAGCTGCAAGGGCTAAGGCCATGGGGCACATCTGCTGACACAAAGCTGCAAGAACCAAAGAGATGGCCTTCTCCTCCCCATCTAACACCTCTCCGAAAGTCATGGGAAGCTGCAAGTCTTGTGCAAAACTGCCCTCCTGTTAAGAAATGTGAGACTGAGCCAAAAGAGGTATTCACTTTTTAAAATTTTTTGTTTGTTTAAAACTTTATCTGATCTCCGATTAACATGTACACCTGTCTATTCCTAGAAACGTGAACGTGTGCGCAAGGTCCCTCCAGAGATAAAGATAACTGCAAGCAGTAAACCGGTATGTTTTCCAGCAACACATGGTATGGTTTGGTTTCTTTATTATAGGATCACTTTTTTTAGAAAAGCTTGTAGGCTGGTCTTAACCACTCATACTACAGTGTCTTCAAGGAACTCCACTACTTTGACAGCTTTGAGGTACTTAGCGTTTTGATTTGAGGTCCCAGACTAACAGTACTGTTTACTAAAGTGCAAACTGTGACTTTAATTAAACCCCAATGGAGCCAAAGATTACTTTTTAGAAATTTTTCCAGTTATTTATCTTCGTGTTAAATTTGAACATTACTTAGTGGTTTTTTTTTTTTTTTTCACACAATAGGAGTTGCAAGTGCCTCTTGTTATAAATGGGCAGAGTCCTTTGAAGAAAAGGGAGCTACCATCTGCTTTCCAGGAGAATTGCAAACCACCTGCATCATTGAGCACCACACAGGTCAGGGTTCCCATCCAGGAATCAAATTATTTTGCTTCTATGTTCAGCATGCAAATCTTATTGTATCTTCACAACCTTCAGTTTGTGAAATATTTTGCAAGGGCTGTTGGTATGTATATGTTGGCTTTCCAGTCTGACATCTAAACACTGTGTAGTTATGTATACACTCAGCCTCCTGTCACAAAATATTGTGCTAGTATATCACTGGGAGTTTTGCGTTGATCAGTTTCAATGTCTTAAAAAAAAAAAAAAAAAAGAGAGAGAAATCATACTCCACTTCTCTTGGTGCTGTCTATGTATTGCTGTCCAGAAGAGTGCAGTTCTAGGAACAGCTAAGATAGTGCAGAACCATCAGACTCACAGCCCTCTGCTAAAGGACCAGAGTGAGGAATGAATAAATTTTTTTTATATTTGAAAATTCAGAACTGTAGATGGATGTGTGGCTGTATAACCACTTGATTTTTCTAACTTATTTGATCTGTTCAGGGACACAGCTTTGCTGGGGGTAAACTTGGACATGTGTGCATATTAACTTGGTTTAGGGCATCAACTCTCGTTGTGCTGCCATACATCATGTCCAGGCTCTCTACTTTCTAAAAGGACTGCCATATCACACTGAAGTGTGATAACTATGGGTTGTCTTGCTTTAAATTTTTTATTTTTTTTATTTTTATTTTTTCTCCTCCTCAACTCTTCAGTGTCACGTGGTTACACCTCAGTCACCTACAGAGTTCTGCTCATCTCCAAATCTTCCAAAAGATCCAGAACTGAGAAAAAAGAAGCTGGAGGATCTGATTGATCAGATAAAGGGAACTTACAACTTTATGCAGGTACAGCCATGAAATGGCTTTTATTTTTAGGATATGAAGTGGAGTTTAATTACTCACATTGCTAAAACTTGTTAAGGATTCTCCTGAACCACAAGGCTTTCTTCACTGACCAGTCATGAGTTGCTATTAAGCCAGCTATGGAAGCTTTTTTTCTTAGTCCTTACAAATGTATCACAAATACAATGCAATCACCTACAAAATTTAAACCTTAAAACTCTTTATTGAAATCCACTCCATACGTAACTTATTTAGAAAGCATTCTCAATATTGAGTTCCAAGGGTGACCTTGTAGAAATTCACACATTTTATCCTCTCAATAGGTGCCTCCATCTTGGTTCAATTTCAGTCATTGTTACTTCTGTCCACGGCACTTGGCATGGAAACTGCATACAAAGAGAAGTGACACTGAGATTTATTAAAGGGTTGCTTAAAGTTGTGTATTCTTGGCACAACTTCAATTGACTGAAAATGATTATCCTCTTTAAACCACCATCACTTTGCAGTCTTCTGAAACTCCATTTCTGTTCATACTGGCTGAATTTACTTTATTTTTTTGAACGCTTTATTATATACAGTCAAAATCTGACTTGGTTACTTTTCTGAACGACTTGATAAATATCCTCCATTCTTTCCATTTGCAATATACAGCTTGCTAAAATGTAAAAACTTAATGGAGCATCTCAAGAAAATTAACCCAAGTGGGGTATCTGGGTGGCCGCTTTTTTTTTTTTTTTTTTTTCCCCTCCTTCTTTCAATAGTGAAAACTCCAGATAAGTGACTGTACCCCTTTTATTGGTGTTCGTAAAAGGGCTTGACCACTATGACTTTTGCATTTAAAAAAAATTTAATGTAAAATCTATTAAAATTTGTTGTTTTTCTATGCAAATAGGATTCTGTGTTGGAATTTGAATACCCTTCTCTAAGAGCTTCACATTTGCCTCTTCAAAGCACTCCAAAAGGTGAATTACTGCATAGTAACATTCTACTTTGCTTGTGCACAACCTGCTGAATATAAATATAACTTGGTTGACTATGGTATTGCTGAAACTAGGTTGACTTCTCCTGTGGGATCTTGGTTCAGTGTATGCATACCTTCTGCATAGTTATCAAGTTATCTTGCACTTAACCAATCCATGAAGGGAAGAATAAATTATTTTATAGAACACGAAGGCTACATAGGCTGACCTTTCTTCTGTAGATCCTGTTTCATTTTTATGTGTGTAACTTTTATTTATATATATATATAATTATTATAATTTTTTTTTTTTTTTTTCTTCTTTCTCTAGTTGCAAATGATCTCCATCAAATGAGTAGAGCAGACCAACCTTCTCCCAAGAAGGTAAGTAACCAGCATGACCAGAGAACAATTAAGCAACACAGGATAAATGTCAAGCTCCTGAATATTGGCCAGACATATATGAACTACAGTTAAGGCCTAAAACAGTCCTTATGTTCTAAAGGTTATCTAACTCCAAATTGGCTGTAAACTTTACTAATAAGCAACCTCTGCAACCCACAGCTTTAAAAACTGCTCTTTCCATAAATGGTGGCAGTATTCTGTTCTTGCTCTCCACCTTCAATGATGACATTCTTAATATCTGCAACGACAGCCATGGCTAGCCTTGGTTGCTACCAGTCTCTGCCAGACAGATCCAAAATACACTGTAATCTGAACCATTAAGCAAAAGTTGCCACGAGATGTTGCTTTGTATCAGTCGAAGTTACAAACCTAAAACCGTCCAGTCGCCATTTTATGACTGACTGACTTCCTAAATTCAGCTCAGTCTGGTGCTAGCAAATTGCTTAGATACAAACCATAGGGTCAATCCAACTATAGGGGAAATAAAGAACATAGTGCAACTCTGTATAACACTCATAGTAATGTTTTGTGCCAATGGGTCACTAACACTTTAACTGATAAAATAGGGCATTCAGAAATCTATGGAGATATCTGGCAGTATCTTGCTTCCAATCACTGGTTTTGCAGCTCTCAGCAGGATGTAAAACAAAGTGCATCCAAAATGAGATATAGGAAAATGTAGATAAGTATAAAAGTAACTTATTACTTACAGAGGTAAGGATCAATCAGCATAAAATCTGTCCAATGCGTTTCCTCCCAATTAGGGACTTCCTCAAGTACTTTTAAATAGTAAGACAGGTATACAAATTAAACTATCCTTCCCTCTAATTAAATTGCTTACAGGGTTATTCATATTTGAGGTAAATTTAAAATTTTATGATGAAAGTAGCAAATCTGGAAGAAAATTCTAAATTGGATATGCTTCCAGCTCAACTATTCTAGCCTTAAATGTGTAATTGATTTAGGATTATTCACCAAAAGGGCGAATTCAATTTCACTAAAGACTAACATACTCATGCACTCAGTAACTCTGTCCTGCAGGAGTTCAACAGTTCATGAAGGTTCTAATTTTAATGGAAGATTCAGAGCCAAAGCATTTTGGTGTCTGGGTATTTTTAATGGACCTGTGAATAAAAAGCTGAACTTGCTGTAGAATTTTGTAATTTCTCAGCTGCAAAAACTAAAGTAATTGCAAGGTCACCGGCTGCATGGGCTTAGAAGACATGACTGTATTTTCTAGAAGTTGTATTGGATAAGTCTAGTGACCCTAATGAGCATCAAAATGACTGTTTGCAACATCAACAGAAGTCTTGTGGCACAGAAGGCTTATGTCTGAAAGTCATGGTCCGTAGATGACAATTTGACTACTGTGACATGCTCTCTGGTTCTCATCTTGCATTACTAAATTTAAGCTGTGTCAAGGGTAGGAAACATACACAAGATGGTAGCCCCTACTTCGTGTTTTTTTTTTTTCGCATTGGCTCCAAAAAGAACGGCTTATAGAAGAGGGAAAACAAAGTGGCTCTGTCACATCAAATTCTCCTTTCTAATATTTCAAAGTCTGAGGCTTGCTACAAGGTTCACTGGAGAAACTGTTTTTGTTCTTACTAGCAACTTCATAGTATGTCAGTCTTGGAAGGTTTGGGCACAAGGTGCTTTCAGCTGTTGTGGACTAAAGTAGACCTTACCCCACCCATGTTCCCTTGCTACATATCTACCATAAAGGGGTGTGGCTTTATTTTCTCATGGCTACCATTTGGGATTGCTGCCAATTGGAAAGCAATATGTACAATTTACTCTTGAGTGTGACTAAATGTTAAGGTCTGTTATAAAATATATGCTTTAGCATTGCAGAACTGTTTAAATACAATGATTGGAAGGTATGTCTTCTGTTCCTAGGTCTCTTCTCCTCAAACTCCTCCTGCTCCAAAAGAATTTGAAACAAGTGAGCCACTTACGCAAACATTCTCAGAACCAGAAACCACTGAAACTACAGAACCAACTCTTCAATCACCAAATGTGTGTTTACATGTGGTACACCCAGCTTCTTAAATCTAAATACTGCACATGAATATCTAACTTCAACATTCCCATGCATATAAAACTAGTCACCAGAACTACAGCTTAAAGGACCACTATAGTGCCCTGAGGGTGCCCCCACCCTCAGGGACCCCCTCCCGCCTGGCTCTGGAAGGGGTAAAAGGGTTAAATCTTAGCTCTCAGCCCAGCGCTGGAAAAAAGGTATCTTCCTCCCCATCGGCTGAATGCGCGCGCGTTCAGCCGGTCACATAGGAAAGCATTCATAATGCTTTCCTATGGACGCTGGCGGGCTCTCACTATGAAAATCAGTGAGAAGCACGCTAGCGGCTGTCAATGAGACAGCCACTAGAGGATTGGGGGGAGGTTTAACCCATTCATAAACATAGCAGTTTCTCTGAAACTGCTATGTTTATAAAAAAATGGGTTAACCCTAGAAGGACCTGGCACCCAGACCGCTTCATTAAGCTGAAGTGGTCTGGGTGCCTAGAGTGGTCCTTTTAATGTAGTTCTGGTGAGTATAATTATATGCAGGTGTTTACATTGCCCCTAGGGAAACCTCCAAGTGGCCACTCATCAGATGGCTACTGGAGGGGCTTCCTGGCTCAGTGCTGCACTGTAGGCATCTCTGACATTCAGCGTCCCCACACTCTGCATGGAAATGCTGAGTTTTCCTCAGATGCACTGACTCAATGTAACTGAGGATTTGCCAAAACTGCATTTGGCCCCATCCCTTTCCAATATTAGCCCATGGGAAAGCATTGGTTTGGCTAAAAATAAGCAATTTAGATGTCCCCAAGGGGATGGGGCCGGTGCCAGTGGACCTGCACGGCACTGGAAATAAGGTGAGATTTTTCATGCTTGTATGGGGGTGGCAAGCAACCTTAATAGTGAGTTTAGCAGTATAGGGTCAGGAATAAATGTTTGTTCCTGACCCTGTAGTGCTCCTTTAAATGCTTAATTGGTTTACCGGAGTGTCCCTCTCTACAGCATCCTGTTACACCTGTTCCAGAAGATGACTTTGTGCCAGAAGAGAATCTTGTGCTAAACTCAAACCCTGAGGTACCAGAGAGAAGTCAGGCAAGTCTTGCATCCACTACTTAACTGGCACTATCAGGCAGTAACTCCAGATTGCACCATTTCAATGTAAAGCACTACAATCATGCAGGCACAATCGCCAAAGGAAATCACTCAGTCTTCCCTTCTCTCTGAACATCTTGTTATCACCTTAACATTGCTATCCTGACCAAATGCAATGTTCCTTACTAAAGTTTTCTCAGCCCTTGGTACTTGGATATTTTTTTTTTTTTTTTGTCTTGCCCTGACCCACCCCCAAACTGTTTTAATCTGACAGAACAGCAGTGCTGCATGGTGAGTGGAATTGCTGTCTGTGCTGGGTTGCCACCAGTTAACACTATGTGCATACACACTGGGACATGTGGTGCAGTGCTCCCAATAGTACCATTTTAGGACATATTGAAGAGTCTCTGTAAAATCAGTAACCCAAGGCTGGTGGCATTGCTGACACTAACTTAAATTTAAGCATTGGTGTATGTATTTGGTTTATTTATTTTTTTTTCCAGACCCCTCTGCCAAGTGACCAGCTATCTTCACCCAAAACTCCTGATAACACTACAGTCTTACCACTACAGCAGGACCAAGTATCCATTTCACCCAGGAGTACACCTGTGCGTATGAATGCCTTACACTCCCCCTTTCCAGGAATGCAGGCAGTAAGTTGCTTTTGAATTCGCCATAATCCATATTGCACAATCTCTATCATCCATGCAAGTGAGACAGATTTTCGAAATAACTGTGCTATGATTTGTCTTAACAGGGCTTTTGCAAAACAGGGATTTCGTGTGTATATAATTTTACACTTTTTTTTGTGTACTTTATTTCTCCAGGTGTTTAAAGTTCATGCACCTATTCCTCCATGCAAAGAACTAGAGGTGACTGCAGAACCATATTCCCCCGAATTTCATCAGACATTCTCCACTGTAAGCACCCAAACTCTGCCCCAATGCCCCTTGGACAATGCTGGAGAACAAAACATATTCATTCAAGAACCTTTATGTGGTGAGTTTTGTGGGGGTGTGTTTTTTTTTTTTTTTAAATATATACGGGAGGGGTTGGATTTATGGCAAATGACTGAGTCTGTATACAACAGGGCTGTCCAACTTGCAGCCCCCCAGATGTTGCTGAACTACAACTCCCGTCATTTCCTGGCTATCTGTTTCATTGAAAGAATCATGGAAGTTGTAGTTCAGCAACATCTGGGGGCTGCAGGTTGGACAGGCCTGGTATACAAGGTTCAGTGATTCTTCTAATTCTCCACCCCCATCTAGACTTCTGATATTAACGACTGAAACCCTATAGTGGGGCCAAACTTTCCTTTTGCATTTTGGTTTGCTCATGCACTAATATTTTTGCATTTCTTTTTACACTAAATTGCCACCATTATTTGTCAAGAGTAAACTGCTATTGGTGTGATCAGTTGTAAGATTCCCTGTTTACTTTCATGGGCTATGACTTATGTGCCTCTGAGCTTTGCTTAAGAACATCAGGCTATAACATGTAATGGCTAATGATTAGTTAAGTTGCCAAAAGGCATCAGTAACCGTAACTATGAATGTTCTATTGTCTAAATAGGAAGCCCATACACTACATCAGGAATTCACCAGATGAATAGTGTGTCCTGTTACACCACTGCTGCAAACCTATTGCCTCGAATGACCCAGCCTTTTGTGAACAGCCGTGGATCTGCTAGAGGCACAAGCAGAGGGCGCATCATGACAAATGGCCTCCGCTGCCCAACTCCATATAAAGGTTGGTAATTCCACCAAATCCTATTTGGTGATACTCTATCAACCTGCACATTCACACTTGAAGGGACTCTGTAGGCACCCAGACCACTTCAGCCCATTGACGTGGTCTGGGTGCCAACTCGATCACCCTTAACCCTGCAAGTGAAACTATTGCAGTTTTATAAACTGCAATAATTACCTTGCAGGGTTAAGTCCTAGTGGCGATCTATCAGACAGCCACTAGAGGGACTTTCAGCTTAGACGACTTCTGGTCGTCTAAACGACTCTAGATGTCCTCACGTTATGCATGAGGACCTACAGTGTCGCTGGAATCCCCATAGGGAAGCATTGAATAATGCTTTCGTGTGTAGGTCTAATACGTGTGCAGCCACGGCTTGGGTCTCTCCTCATGGATGTCTGTGGGCGGAGCCTGACCCAGCACCAAGGGACAGCGGTGCTGGATTCAGGTAAGTGTCTGAAGGGGACTTGACCCCTTCAGCAACAGGGGGCATTTAAAGGGATTCTCTGTGGAAACTGATAGCTCGTACCATGAATGTCAAAGCACTGCTTGTAAAATATGCCACCATTTCAGAGTGACCAATTACTTGCTGCCTCTATCAAATATATTAGCAACATTCCCTTGACTGCTTTGTTAAAACTGACTTCAATAAGTCAATATGGACAATATCGGTCTGAGGCCTCAATACATGCTAACCTACTGAGGGTTTTTCAGGTTGGGCTTGGTTTTAATCTTTATTGAACGAAGCCTTGCAGAATGCTACACCAGAAGACTTTTTTTTTTTTTTTTTTTTTTTTAAATATGAACCCCTATCCCCTTTATGGGTGTTTGTACTCTGCTTCTAATGATATGGCGTCCATTGCTTTTGAATTTACAACCTGGCTGCATCATAAGGGGACTACTACAGACCTGTAGATTCCCTATGTTCCTGGGTCTCCCTTTTTATAATGCAGGTTGCTTTTGTAGTTCAGATCATTCAGTGGGGTCAATGGCTGTGACTACATTTGATAAGGATAAGTGTTTGTTTTTTATTTTTTAATCTGGAATGAGATGTGGCTTCAAGAGTACTTTTAATCTTGAGACAGTCTCTCATCTAACTCACTAAAAAAAAAAAAGCCTGCAGGTGCATGCAGCTAACCCCTAAGCATTTCACTGGAATGTTTCTGTAAACCCAAACTTGCTTCACTTATATGAAAGTTAACTGTATACACTGGTTGCATTGAGGACTCAAGTCCTAAGCAACTTTGTTGTCTTGATGAAAATACTCCTCAGCCTGATGCGACCCTTCACATTTTTGTTTTGAAGGTGGCTAAGATAGAAAAATAAACCTGCGCATGTCTTCATTCAATGTAGGTCCTGAGAGTTACAGAGGAGCGCATTCTGTCACCAATGGAAGTTATGGCCATGCACCGTGTGCAGGAAGAGATTATAATTCAGCACAGTTTGTCCCTCGGGTAAGATTTGTTATGATGCCTACACTGGATGTGAAGTTTGTGGGCCTGGTTTTTCTTTAAACCAAACTTGAAATGAAGCTATATGTCATGGGAATTATCAGTTTGTATATCTTTAACTTTTTTATTTATTTTCTAATTGTAGGATGGTAATGGCCATCTGGGAAATAAGAGAGGTACAATTACTACTGGTGTCCGTTCAAATTCTAGAGGTTGGTTCTCCCGCATAAAATGCTTTTGTTTGTGGGAACATTAAATCTTCAGTCAGAACTGACACTTAACACTTTTAATTCCATTTACAAATAGGTTGGAGTGAATCCTCTCAAACCAGTAGTCCCGAAAGGAATGATGTCTTCAGTAACGATTCAGGACATGGAGATTCACGTAGCCTTTCTACTTCTGATATGTCAATGTGCAGCCAGGCGACAACACTCCTGCCAGTTCATGTCTATCCACTTCCTCAGCAAATGAGAGTGGCTTTCTCTGCTGCTCGAACATCCAACTTTGCTCCTGGAACACTAGATCAGCCAATAGTCTTTGATCTCCTATTGAATAACTTAGGAGACACCTTTGACTTCCAGCTTGGACGTTTTCAGTGCCCTGTAAATGGTACTTATGTGTTCATATTCCATATGTTGAAGCTAGCTGTAAATGTTCCTTTGTATGTCAATCTCATGAAAAATGAAGAGGTGCTGGTGTCTGCCTATGCCAATGATGGGGCCCCTGATCATGAGACCGCAAGTAATCATGCGGTTATGCAGCTATTTCAGGGCGATCAGATCTGGCTTCGTCTGCACAGGGGTGCAATCTATGGTAGCAGTTGGAAATACTCTACCTTTTCTGGTTATCTGCTCTATCAGGACTAATGTCTAGCATAGTTGTTGGTTGGGATAAACTTAAGATGGTTTATCTGCTGCACTGTTAATCTGCTAATGTCTTACTGCAAACTGTTCATACACTTCAAAAATAATTTGTATCCATATTGTAATATGGATACTGTAAGGGTACTGAAGTATAACTTGCCTAAAGTTGAGTGAACTGGTTACAATAAAAAAAAGACCGCAAACCTTGTTGAATGGTTAATCTTTCAAGAAAACACACACAAGGATTTCAGCTGCAGCCACCATTGTGTACCAATTATATGGGGAATCTTTCTATAGTACTTTTTAACTGGGGATTACTGGCTAGGTGTCCAGGGGGGACAGATGTGTGCTAATTAACATATCTATAGAGCTGAAAATGGCTACTGCTTTAAAGTAACTCGTCAAGTGAGCACTGTATGTATCACATCTGTGTGTGGTTGGAGGGGGGGGTTGTTTGTGTGTGTTGTGTTTTTTTTAAATCTGCAGCCCTAGCTACTAATCTGGCTGTGACTCACAGCCTGCCCAGTAAATTCAACTTTAATAACACACAAGGCTCCCACAGGCACTAAAAGGTTATTAGCAGAGAAGGACAGAAGACATTCTAAATTAAACAAACATACTGTGCAATAATGGCGCTGCATGCCAGGTGATATACATAAAGGTGTAGTAGGGTGGGGTGTGTGGGTTTTTTTTAGAGATAGAGATCCCCCCCCTTAAGCAACATACTAAAAGGGGCTTACTTTTGAAAGAACTGCATTCTCTAAAACAGGGGTTTCTGGCCCAGTCAAATACCCCCTATCAGCCCAGGATTTAGGGGTTTACCCTGTTGTGTCTAAAGTTTCATTTTAACCCCTAAAACACACTAGAAGCAGCTATGTAATCCTGGATTGTAAGGAGGTACTTGCTGATTGGGTTGGGAACCACTGATCTAGAACATATTTTGTTGAATAGTTTTGCTAACCATGTACTAGGTGGAGACCTCTCGTAAAGCTGGATATCGAACAGGCTATACTATAGTAGCTAGGAGTCTTCTGTAATATAGAGGTCAACAGTTCAAATTTGATCTATTACTTTGCATTATCAAAAAATTGGGAGAGATTAAACCCCAAGCCATGAGAGCCTACACATAACTGCAAAAGACACCCTACTTTATCAGCGCAATGCAGTTCTCACTCTTGTCCTTTTGTACACCTTATGACTAAAGTGTTTTGCATGGTTGGCTTTAGTTTTTAGCAGGCATCTATGTGAAAGTTTGACATATAGTTGAGATGGAGACCATTTTATGAAATGCCAATTGGCACAAATTTTCCACTTGGCTTTTACACGTTCTGACAAGGTGGTTGTAGTAAGTGTATTGGCACTACACTAACTGGGTTTAAAACTGCATAATCTGGTCATGCAGCATCTATAGAGCCTTGTCTTAGGTGTAGATATTTTGAATGTACCTACTTGAAAGCTGAAAGAGGCCCATTGCATTTTTTTTTTAATGTTGCTTGAGTAGTGTGGTCTTTTCATTGCCATTTAGACTACCATAAATTTTTTTTTCAGTCTCAAGGCTACGAGTCTAATTGGATTTTTAAGTTGCTCAGTACTTGGCGTCTTTATATGCAGAGTTTAATTCCCTTTGCAGCAGCTGGAAGTGTAAATCTGCTAAATGAAGAAACTGGGCACTAACTGCAGAAATTTCATACTTTGTCATTGTTGCTCGTGGGGTGGTATTGTAGGCATCTTTACATGCTCGTAACACTTGTGCACAAACTGTAAAATCTATAGGTGGGATTTAAAGCAATGTGGCAAATATAATGTATCCTGATCAATTTAGTTGTTATACAAGGGGTGACTAGGAATAATCCCATGGGATTGAGCCTAATTTAGCTGACCCTACAATTAGTACGCATAAGAGTGAACATCTTCCAACGCAGGCTTCACAGGTACTTCAAAAAAAAAATGATCCCCTTAGCTCTGCAGATATAAACTGCACAAAGTCCACTAAATCTATTCCAATGCATAGAATACCAATATCCCAAATGCCTTTAAACCTCTCTACATTTCTCAGTTGGATAAAGGGTTCTTGGTCCTTCTGTAGGATTGTCTTCTCTTCTCCAGCAAAAGGTATTATCCCCAAGGCATGTTCTGTAGTTATACACAACTTTGAGTGCTCCTATAGGACCGATACGTTACTTTTAGGGATTCTAATGCTAGACCACAAGCAAATCCATAGCTTCTCATGGCAATGATATGCAATACATCATTTTTAGCCTTGCAAGTTACCACTCATGCAAGGCTCAAAACTTTCCTATTGGTTGGTTTAAACCAACCAATAAGAGCGCTCTGAGTCAAATTGCAGGGGGTGTGTGAAGGCTTTTTAAGCCTTTCCTTGCCAGGCAGAGTTCAGTCTGCATGGGACCCTCACTTTTTTGTTTTTTTTTCCCTCCTATTTTTAGAGGCAAGTGGTTAAGAAAGGTTTAATTTTATTGGGGAGGGAGATGACTAGGGGCTTGGGAATCCCTAGTCATCTGTGAGGGTTTACATTTAGCCCTCACCAATATGTATGGGGCGGGGGAGGCAAAAGGACACCCTCCCCTCCCCCTCCCATTTTCTTACTTAGGCAATTTTTATAGCACTATCTAGGGCAGATGACGTATCCCATAGGGCCTTCATCTGCCTACATAAAGATGGTGGCGTGGTCCGGGCATAAAAAAAGTTATTTAAAATGGGGGGGCTGAGGGTGATAAAGGAGCACAATAAAATATATTGCAGCCGGATGGGAGGATTAAACAAAAACACACAAACAAAAACTTGATGCAGCCACGACCGTGCCTCTAAGCTGATAAAAGGTTCGTTGATTCCTGGTTTTGCATTCACATTTGTAAGCTGTTGCTGTGAACCCACAACAATGGGATGAAAAGAGCTCTCAATGCAAGTGAAACAGGCTATCCTTAGACAGCAAAAAAAAAAAAAATCATCAGTGGGATAATAGGAAGAGTACTCAGATCAAGTTTGCTACATTCTGAGAATAAAAATGCATTGGTGAGCTTTGCAACACAAAAAGACATGGACACCCATTAAAGACAGTGGTGAATGATCGTAGTATCCCTTGCATGATAAAGAAAAAACCCTTCACAGCATCCAACCAAGAGGTAGGCAAATAATTACCTAGGTCTGCCATAAAGAGAAGACTTTAAGAGAGCAAATACAGACTGTTCACCACAAAGCATGCATTTCACTTACTGAAAACAAAACTTAAGGCAGAAAGATCCAAAGGATTCTTGACAAAGTATTAAAAATTAACATTTTATTTATGATGGCGTTAATTTGTCCACCTACATTTGAGACCCTGACATAAGGGGACTGTGTATGAAAATGGTTAGAATTTTTAAATTTTTCATACTATATTTTTGTTCAACCCCTTGAATTAAAGCTGAAAGTCTGCGCTTAAAGGGACACTATTGTCACCAAGACAACTACAGCTTAACCCCTTAACGACGGTTCAGGACAGTCATCAGAAACATCCCCTTGAGGACCGATGACTGTCCTGAACTGTCATAACGGTATTGGGGTACTTACCTGATTGCCGTTGTTCCCCTGGCGGCGGTCAGAGTTTTACCCGGTCGGGGGGGGGAATGCCTATCTGCCCAGACAGTCTCCCGATGGCAGATTAGGAGACCCCGCGACCATGTGATCGCTCGATCATATGGCTGCAATGTGTGCCTGTGTATCTGCCTGCAGGGGGACTGTGCTGACAGGCAAAAATAAAGTTTCAAACAAGCAAGCAATCAGTGTAAAAAAATAAAATAAAAAATATATGTGTGTGTGTATATATAATATATATATATATATATATATATATATATATATATCTTTATGTAATATGTTTATCTATCTTATATACATAATGTCAAACTAAGTGTATTTTTATATTTACATATACATATATTAATATAAAAATACACTTAAGTTACACACATATATAATATATATAATAACTATATATTGTGTGTATATATATATATTTGTGTAAGGGGCAAAATAGCCGTATATGGAGTAAGGATCCAGCATAAGCTTAGGATAGTGTAAAGGGAGCAAGTCGGTTGTGATGTGCCGATACCGACGATACGGTAGGCCTGTAAATAAAGAGGGCCCACCAAGGAGTAAGAAAGTAAAGTAAATGGAAAGAAAAGAGAAAGTGTTGAAATGAGGAGTGGGTGGGAGGGTCATTCTGATGCTGACCTCAAGCGATATGAGTCAGGTAAGGGGTGTCCCTTATATAGGGGAGTGAATTAATTTAAGCCCCTCCCACAAATACAGGCAAAACTGCCTTAATACTTGTGTAAGGGGCAAAATAGCCGTATATGGAGTAAGGATCCAGCATAAGCTTAGGATAGTGTAAAGGGAGCAAGTCGGTTGTGGTGTGCCGATACCGACGATACGGTAGGCCTGTAAATAAAGAGGGCAAAAATGAATAATCAAAGATTTAATACAGTCAACAAATATATACAAATTAACCAGACTTTTCCTTAAATGCATTACAGTATTTAATTCCTGAAAGGATTTTGAAGGTAGGAATCTAGGACCGAAAGTGGACACCATTTGTTGTGGGTAGGATAGTATGTTATCTCTACTGTTGGTGCATGTTGACTCATTTCGGAATGTGGTAGAGCCAATAGGTAATGATATATGTGTTTACGTACGTGGGATCATTGAAGACAATGATCTGTCTGAGTGGTGGTGATGGTAGTGGATTCTCTGGCCTGAGAAAGGCATAAAAGGCAATGTGCATGGCTGGTAATGGCCGACTTGGTAGTATAATTGAATGGTTGTAGATCTAATAGGTCCGATAAGGATGAACAGTTGGATGGCTATTGGTAATCTCTGAGAGGAACGTGGGGGAATGGATTCCTGAAAACCTCTGAGTATATTCTTTTCTGGTATGATAGCATGAAGTTTATGGTAGTTTTGGCCATAGGTTATCATGTGTTGTTGAATGCCTGTAAAATATATAATTAATGGTGTATGAGATAGTATAAGTTTAAGGTGGCAAAAATAAGCAAAACTTAGGAGAAATTTTGTGACACAGGTTGAGCTATGTCGTGTTCCAATGAGATTCTTTAAGTCAGGTGAAAAGCTGTGTTATGCGTTCTACAAGTATGGGACGAAAGTGCTAGGTGGGAT